ACGCTAGAATTTTCTATACTTCCTTTGTTTTAAAATAACTTGTGCCACATTAGCAAGCCAACATGGGAAATATGAATAGTCATACACCATAGATTGTCCTTGGATACCTGTCTATAGCATTCAGTAAAATTTCTTCCTCATTGCAGAAGTGCATCTAAGTTCTTCTTCCACCTCAGAACAGTACTTCTTCTGTCAACTGTTTTGGTGTTTTGAAACCAAGTGGAAAGTATTAATGTGATGGATTCTTAACTCTAGAAAAGCGATGAGACATATGGTTGCTGTTGCTTGACTAATACCATTAACATCACTTGTCATTTTGAACTCATCATGAAAGTCTAATATAAGGCAGACCTACTTTCTGTATGCTTTTGAAAGTACACTTTCAAATCACACTCCTTTTAGCAATGGAAGAAGCCAACTCCCACTCTATTGCTCATCATGGTTGAGAAGTCAGATTATTTTCTCATTACTAGATTTATCCTTAAAGACCAAAATAGAGATATATTGGTAAGACTAGTGTGGGAAAGCCCGTAACAAAAGTATATATATATATATAATATAAAATATATAAAAATATATATATAATATATAAAAATATATATAATATATAAAAGTATATATAATTCACTTCCTAAATAAAGAACTTTCTTCTTTTTAGTATTGTTATCACAACAATGCCCACAGGCTCTATCATGCTAAAAGACCCATCATACCCACATACACATATGTGAAAAAATGTTACTACTTACTTTCAATAAAAGCTTGAAATAGAAGAGACTGGACAGGAAACAGAGAGAGGCATACTGCTGTGAACTGACTCATTCAGGACTGATCAACAGGTCAGGAGCACAGCCAGGATATGTATTCCAGTTTTTCTGCATTCCTGCCTTGAGAATATGTCTTCTGACCTTTGTTGCACATGGTCTGCAGATCCTCTTGACTTTGTTGTGATGCAAAAAATAATGATCCTAAAATGCCCAGCAGAACAATGATTGCTGCTGGGCAGCCAGCAATACCTTGTGAGGACTAGAAAATTCTTTATTCATGGAATAATTAAGGTTAGAAAAGACCTCTAAAATCAGCTAGTCCAACCATCCATCTACCACCAATGCTGTCCAATAAACCATGTTCCTTAGTATACATCTCTTAAACATCTACAGGCATAGTGACTCAACCACCTCCCTGGGCAGCCCGTTCCAGCACTTGACCACTCTTTTGGGTAAGTTTTTCCTAATATCCAACATGAATCTCCTCTGGCACAGCTTGAGGTCTTTCCATCTTATCCTATTGCTGTTAACCAGAAGAGGTCGACCCCCACCTTGCTACAACCTCCTTTCAGGCAGCTGTAGAGAGCTATAAGGTCTCCTCTGAGCCTCCTCTTCTCCAGATTAAACAGTGCCAGTTACCTCAGTTGTATTGCTGCAATGAGTGCCAGCATCAGGTGCAGTTGGATAGAAGGTGTAATTTCTGTTTTTTCTGTTCCACATTAGATCTGCAATCTGTGAATATATCTGCCCTGAATATTTGTCCAGGCTATGCTAATGACCAAAGGTAACCTAATAGCAACTGCAAATTCTTATGTAGACATTTCTGGATGCACTGTGTTTTCTTGTGTCCATGCTATTGTTTTGTACTTGTTCATTTTCTCTTGTGCTACAGCTAGACTGTACATTCTTTGAGGAAGATATTGTATCTCTGTTCTATTCTGGGAATAACTACTAGTACAGCATCAATAACAACTTTTTCCCTTATAGCTAGTGAATTGACAAGTGTCTCTCACGAAACCCTCTTCTTGTTCTTCCTTTTTCCTTTCCTTCACCATGTCATTTTCCTTACATATGTGCTCATTTGGTTGCTTATAAAAGAGCTCAGGATCTCTCTCATCTAATTATCTCAAAAATTATCTCTATCTGTGACATGAGGATGGACTGTGAAATGAAAACATTTTCAGAGCGTTCCTCACAGTTCTTCAGGATGCAGACTTTCAGAATGTGTCAAAAGCCATGTTATGGAGCTATCACCATGGTAGAAAATGTTGAATAGTTCTCTGAGAGAACGTTAATATTTTGGATCTCCCTCCTGCTGATGAAAGTGGGGAGGGGGGAAGAAATAAGGGAGTTTCTGTGACATGTCAGCTGTCCAGAACAGTCCCGTGCAACCATATTTTATTTTTTAAAAAACAAAATCACTTAGTACCTAAAAGGAAATTTATTAATTTAAAAACAAAGACTTCTGTGGAATCAGTAACAAGTATTTCAATTAGGCCACTTGGTCATGGCACCCCCTCAGTGCTGAACCACTTGAGCATCAGATTTGCACACCTCCATACCATGCTGTCAATTCCAAACCAAAGTATGCTACTTTTGTACTGAGGTATTTTAGCATCGAGGAAACAATATTTACTGTGCTAACCACTTGCAGTTATCAATCAGCTATACTAAATTTTTACAGATAGCTACTACTTGCAGTGATAGCTCTTATCATGCAAAATAATGATATATGCTGCAATGACATCAGCCCCTTTTGCTCTTAAAGGCTCTAATAGAACACTCCAGCATTGCATCAGAACTTCTTCACCCTGGCTGATGTTTTTCACGGTTGAAAACCTCTCCAGGATCATGCGCTGGTGAAGGATCCCCACAAGTAGCTGTTGCGCAGCCCTGAGATGGCTGGCTGCTCCACATGAGGAGAAAAGCTGTGGGGCACCCCATGGGGAAGAGCCTGGCACGCCAACCATGCAGAGAGCAAAGGAGGCTCAGGGAATGCCCAGGGCAGCCATTGAAACAGGGTGTCAGTCAAGTTCATGGTGGCAGAATGGGAGGTCAAGACCACATGACTGGGCCAGGATCAACAGGATACATGGCCAAGCACAGCTGCCACAGGGCTGCAGCAAAGCTCAGATTACTAAATGCAAGAGTTTCAGCTTAAAAGCAGTTACAAAGAGAAGTAAGGAGAAATCTTGATGAAGCTTCTTGGCAGAGATGTTTGGGGAAGTCTCTGTTGAGGCTGCTTTCTTTCAAGGCTGCCACCTACATAAACCCTAGCCTGGCCTTGAGCCCGGGCACCCAAGCCCCTAGACTCTTTTGGAGCAGCTTCTCAACATTTTCTTGCCAAGTCAGCTCTCTGCCTTTTTTCAAGGTTCTGCTGAACCTCACTTCAGTCCCTCACGCTGTTAAGTCTGTTGCAGTCTGAACCTGCCAAGCCTTTATTTGCAGCTGTTGCCTTGGGCTACATCATCTTACACTACTTTGCATCTCTGTTTTGCTCTCCAACAGCAGCTGTGGATGCTATGAGACTGCCCTCATCCTCCTCTTTGCTGGACTAAACCAGACTAGCTCCGTATCCCATCTGTTATTATCTTGGCAACAATCTGCTAGATCCACACTAGTTTCTCAGAAACCATTCTGAAGCGGGAGGTCATGAAAGTGAACACAGAAATCCAAAGGCAGCCTTACCAGTACCAAGAAGCCAAGCTTACAGTTTTCCTTATTCATGAGGAAAGCGTGATGCTGGCTTCTGTTTAGTCTGGCATCCACTGCATCCACTGAAAAACTTCCAGGTTTTCAGCATAGACCTTCAACCTCTGACTGTCCCCATGAGTGTTTTTTGTTTATATTGTTTGTTGTGTTTTCAGTTTGTTTGTTTTTCCCTCCCTAATCTAGATGTTTTTGTAAATGGAGAGGCATGTTCTAAGACAGTTCTGCTTTAAAATGATACAAGTAGTGACAGTACAGTTAAGCTTGCTAATGTTTGCTGATACTGCTGCCCTGCAATTTGCTCAGATAACAGAAAGAGCTGTGTCTCTGAACCAAGGAGATAAGGAAGTCCTGCTGAGTCTTTGTACCAAGGAAGTCCAGCTTGGAATGGGTTATTGAATATATAACATACTTCTGGGAAAACCTGAATGTGTAACATAACTCTGAGAAAACTTCTGAATATGTAATGTACCTCTTGGAAAACTTCTGCATATGTAACACCAGTTACGTATATAAACTGAGGATCTTTTTGCATAAGCTATGCATGATAGGAGGATTACTCCCGTGCATCCAGAGCTGCCAATAAGAATACTTACTTAAAAGTAATAAAACTTTCTCTGTTAAGTTTCTCCACATATATTTCTTTGGTTCAGAGCCATTGCCATTAGCTGGTATTATTGAGAGTTTAAACTTTTATTTTGCAGTGCTCTATAAAAGAAAGAGCATAAGGTTTAAATCCCACAGATTCCAGATGAACTTTTCCCTTATTCCCATCTTTTCCTTTAAAGTGCACACAGGTAGAACCAGACGCGCATCCTACAGATTAGCAGCTTTCCAGTGTTATCAGAATTCTACTTAATTGTCTCACAGATCTTTAAACTGGATAAAGATATTATTTTAGAACCCTGCTATTGTCTGTTAAAAAGTTCTTAGAAAAAAAAGTTCTTGAAATAATGATCTGTCCTTTTCTTTTCCTGCCAAACGGATCATGTAAAGTTTCTTAATTACATTCTGTGTGTCTGAAACCGAGCTTTCCAGATAAACAAAATCTGTGGACAGGTCGTAGTGATCAAAGGACTTTAATTGAAAAAGATCAGCTGACAGCTGTATAAAGAATCAAGCTTTTAAAAATGTATAGGATACATATCTCTGAAGAAATGTTCCAAGTGGCCACGGATATATATATGTGTATGTATATATATTTAACTCATACATTCTTCCAGAACAAAATTGGCAATGTATTTTCTTCAAACGTTATGGTTAAAAATCAAGTCAAAACACTTGTTATGAAAAAAAAATGCATTTAAATGGGAAAGCAATCTATGTTTATGAACTTGCCAGAAAAAGAAGAAAAAGAAAAAGAAAAAAGAAAAAGAAGAAATAAAAAGAAAAAAAAAAAAAAAAAGAACAATGAGTCAAGGAGCGAGGGGCAAGGGCCAAACAGCCTTATCTCTTTGGTGGAGCTATTGGAGAGGGTCCAGAGGAGGGCCACGAAGATGATAATCACCTCCCCTGCAAGGCCAGGCTGTGGGAGTTGCGCCTGGAGAAGTCTGCAAGTAGACCTCATTGCAGTCTTCCAGTATTTAAAAGGGAGCTATAAAAAAGAGGGGAATCAACTTTTTACTTGGGTAAGTAAAAAGATAGTTATAGGACAAGGGGGGAATGGTTTTAAGCTCAAGGAGGGAAGGTTTAGATTGGATGTCAGGGAGAAGTTTGTTACCAAGAGAGTGCTGAGATGCTGGAACAGGCTGCCCAGAGTGATTGTCGATGCCCCATCCCTGCAGGTGTTCAAAACCAGATCGGATGGGGCCCTGGGCAGCCTGGTCCAGGAGAAGATATGGAGGGATATGGAGGTTGGTGACTCTGCGGGAGGTTGGAACTTGGTGATCCTTGGGGTCCTTTCCAGCCCAAGCCATTCTATGATTCTCTGAAAAGAAAAAAGAAAGAAAGTCCAGATAAGGTAAAGATCCAGGGAGACATCATTGCAACATTCTGGTACTTAAAGGGATCTTATGAAAAAGAGTGAAATAAACTTATAATATGGGTAGATAGTGATAGGACAAAGGGGGGTGGTTTTAAACTAAAGAAGGGTAGATCTAAATTAGATGTCAGGAGGAAATTTTTCAGAGAGTGGTAAGGCACTGGAACAAGTTGCCCAGAGAAACTGCAGATGCCCCATCCCTGAAGGCACTCAGGGCCAGGTTGGATGGGGTTCTGCTCTAGTGCCTCATTTAGTGGTTGTTAAGCCTACCTGCAAACGGAGGTTGCAATTAGATGATCTTTCAGGTCCCTTCCAACACAAGCCATTCTATGATTCTATGAAAATAAAGTATAAGTTTTAACATTTTCAAATAGCTTTGAATGTTTTGTTTTTTTTTCCTAACAGCAGAAATAAGAAATGAAGAAATTATAAATATTCTCTTTTAAAAAATTCAACAAGTTATTAGTGGAGTAGAACAATTGGAAAAGGATAGGGGACATTTTTACTTCTCTTTGGAATAACAGGATAATTGAAAGTTGAAGAAAAATTATTAGAACCTGGAATGTTTGTCAATATGGTATTCATTTTCTTGACATTAGAAGTCTAAAATATGATTAGATGGTAATAAAAGCATGCAGTAAAGAGCATCACAAGGACTTGTGTAACATTTCAATTTAAGAATATGTTTAATAGACATGGCAAGTACTGCTAAGTACTTCTTTTTACTTAGGAGTTGTAAGGAAAATATCGGTGCTTGTTAACAGCATGATCTATGTAGGTCACTCTGAAAGTAATGCCTCCTACAAAGAACACAATAACTCTATTTGTTAGAGTAAATTCTTAGCCATAAAACACTATTTTTCAACACATTAGCTATGCATTTTTGCGAGTGATGAACAAGTGTCAACCTGTTATCGTGCCGTTTATATCTGTTCTAGTTTTCACAGAAATAAATAGGAGGCATTATTTTTGGAGAGGCCTACATATTTTATATGTAGCCCAAGACGATTCCTCTTTACTCAGTGCAGCCCAAGCAAGCCAAAAGTTTGTGCACCCATGGACTAGTGCATCAAACAGGCCAGATACCCTTCTCTGTCCACAAGACAAACAGATATGGCTGACAAGTCACCAAATCTTGCAATTCCCCAAGCCATAGAAGGAAATAATTTCCCCAGAATCAAGCAGCACTTGGCACTGCAACAAGTATGGAATTGTGTTCAGGGCCAGCGGTGTGTCTGCTTGGTTTGCTGGTACAGATGTAGTGAAACATGTCTGAAGTGAGCAGTCTGAAATGTAAATGGGTTTTCTTTCTCTCATTGGCTGCAGGATTCAGGTTTGACAAAAAAAGTTCAGAGAGAATGGAAATTAAAAGCAAAAATGAAATGAGAATGAAATCTGCAGTCAGCTATGTAGACAGGCAGACTGTGGTGGATGAAATGTCAGGTCACATCCAAGTTACAGCAGAGCATCCCAAAGATGCCTTCATTACGACAATATTTTTATCTTGATTGCTGCCAACTTTAATCTTTGAGGGACTTTGAAAGACTTTTGACATCTGATTTCCAAAGCTTTATGCGTACATAATAAAACTATTGCTTAATCCCTTCAGAAAACAAACTTTTCCTTTGTGTATGCATAATAATAATACCTCTGCATCAAGTAGAGCCTGTAGGTGTTACACGTGAGACTGGAACATTCAAAGCAACGTGTCTGGTGGGTTTTTTCTGTCTAACTTGAGAAAAAAAATTACTTTTAATATTTGTTATATACTGCCCAACAAAATAATATTGTCTTCCAAAGTGGAGTAGTTTGCCTATTGCAAACATCTACAGCTGCATTCACATTTCTGATCATATGGGCCTTATAGGGCAAATGTTGACCTAAGCTTACCTGCAAAGGTGCAAAAAAGGCACTGTAATACAGCATGTGACATCAGAGCAGCTTGTTAAGAGAAACTCTGTCAGTTATCAATTACACTGCTGAAACAAACCATTTGTCAGAGCTAACATACAGCCAGGCATCCATGAACAGACAGTGAAGCATTAGCTAATTACCTACCAAGTCTTTCCATTGACTTGATTGACTTTGGCAAGCAGATTCAGCATGCAAATTTACCATTCTACAGGGACATAGCACTTTCATTTAGAGACATTAGTTCTTCCTCACAGGAAACTACTTTTCTCTCGTAATGTTTCCACACAAACAAAACAAAACAAAAAAAAACCTAGTAAAGTGCAGGAAATACTTCTGTGCATTTGGCACTTGATACTCATGAAACTTCAGCAGTCACTAAAGCAGCTAGGGCTAGATGTAGGAGTTGGCAGGTGCAACAAAGTTCTCCACCCAGAGCAGCCATGGCAGCGCTCCTTGGCATTCCTGATCTCTGATTATATCAAGGATTTTCCAATAGAGAAGCTGACAACCACAGTATCTGTTGGAAGGATTGAAAAGATATCTGTAACAGGAGACATTTATAACATACTGTTGGTTTTGGCCTTAAGAGTCAAATTAAGGTTTCAAGAGGGAAAAGCTTCTTCCTGCCTTTATGACCTCAAGTAATCACTGATAACACTATGAATAATTAGAACTGTGAAATTCAAATTGATGCTCTTCAGTTTGTCCTAATGCACCAAAAAGTCTTTTATCTCCTCCAGCGTGAAAAGGCATTTCACTTCCTGAAGTTACCCTTGCTGCCTGTCTTTCTGTTGCAGTGTATCAGGAAAAGAAATCCCATTGCCATCTGTTTTCAAGGTAAGCACATAAGCTCCCTAAATTTAAAATATGTCACTGCATTCAAGCTAATTGGAGGAGCATTTTTCTTTGTCTAAAATATTTATCTATGGAATAAAAACATTGCATGAAAGTGTGCATTGCAGGGGAAAAACACAGAAACTACGGATTGCCTTAGACTGCCTACGTCAACCATCTCTTCTCATTCTCTCCTTCAGCCTGACATGAGCCTCATTCCTCAACTTTTCCAGAAGGTAGAGATGGGCAAATAGTCACAGCTGCGCAGAAGCAGGGTATCTAAATTCAGATAATAAATTAACATGCACTTGCTTTGCTTTTACTATTAATCCTGGCCAAAAAATAAAAAAAATTAAAAAATCTTAGCATTCAAGATTAGCGTTGTATGATGTTTTGTACAACTGGCCAGTGAACAATTTGCATCTAACTCAAGAAGATCAGTAGACACCTCAGTTCCTCACTTTTCAACTCTTTTTTCCTAATGTGATCCAGATCCATTACAAATGAGGGTAATCTTGTGTATGAACAGTAACGAAATTCATTTCTCTGAGACACACGATCCCTCCAAAATACCTGTTAGGGAATTCCTTATGCATCGTAACAAGAAGCTACACATGAAGTTAAGATTAATAAATAAGTTTATGTGTATGTAAATTGCCTCTACCACGGAACAATATCTAAACAATGTAGAGAAAACAGTAGACACTTCAGAAGTGAAGCCTTAACATTCAGCCACATAAAGATGCTCTTCAGTATCTCAAATTATTTTTGTTTATGTAAACTACCACTGCATCTATAGAAAAATGAAAAACAATGTCACTACTGCTCTTATTGTTGAACCTTATATATTCCATTATTATATTTTATTGATATGCTTTTCAGAAAAAGCCTACTGAAATGGCTAATATCCTCCTTTAGTTGCGTTCAGCTTAGTGTAGGATTTGTTTCTTGAGGTATGATGGCCTATGATGTATAGAATTAGATTAAATAAGCTGCCTGAACCTGATCACTGTTTAATATTTGAAATTTAAGCATATAGGCAAGTGTATTCACAACAGAGGCCTAGAGCAAAGGCACCTAAGAAAATAATGTTCAAGATAGGGAGTGAGAAAAGAAGAGAGCCTTGAAAGCAACAAGTGATAATGCTAGAGGATGTGTGCTTTGAGGAGCTGGAAGCATGTGGCTTTCAAGAAGTAGCAACATTACCAAAGAGTAAGAGGAAATAATGGGACAAAAGTAGTAAAACGTACATCATAAGATTATTTCAATGGGGGCTTGAGAAGTGCAGGAAGTGAGAGAAAGGACCAACTTTTTGCTGCTTGAATAAATGAGGTTCCAAACCTATTGAAGCCTCCAGGCATTAAGAGGATTAATATTTTATTTTTATATTTTCTTGTGCTTCAACTCTTAAGGATGAACTTGCTTAATTTTTTTAAATACAAACTCATTTTCATGGAGGTGTGGTGTACATTTAAATAATAATTATCATTTTCCAGGCAGTGCTGCACATAAAACACATTGTAATACAATAAAAGCACAATTGCCATATGCAACTGCCATAGAAAAAAAATAGATTGAAACTCGTAAGGCAGCTGTTTACAAACATACTGGTTAAACGAAAGTATGAGGTTCTGAAATTACCATAAATTGCTGTGAATACGCTAGATGAGTACCAGTGTAAAAATATATACAGGTATAGTTTCTTAAGCTTCTCCAAGAATAGCAAATCCCAGGATTTTTAAACACTTATTAAAAGGGGTATCGTATTGATAAGACTTCTCAGAAGTAATAATGGCTCTGGCCAAGAAATGCTGTACAAGGCACTGAGTAACAGATGAGATCATTTTCACAGCTTAAGTCTATAGCTACTCCAGCTAATCACATTTTTACTGTTCACCTTGTTCACCACTAGTGCAATTAACTCTGTTGGGAACAAAGGTATCATACAGAAAACTGAGCTGGCTTAATATTTTACCATCAAAACTTCAAGCAACTCCGGACAAAAATATGATGTTCTCATGAATACGTCAGTCAGAAGCACCAATTTACTAAAACAGTTGATGTTCCATGTTCAAAAGGAAACTTCTAGTGTTTTAACTTGTTTCCTTCCCTTCTCCCACTCCCACACCCTGTTGACCAGAATACAGGTAATTATGTTTTGATTTGAGAGAAAAGTCAACACTTCATATGGTTTATTCTAAACATATTTATCCTTAACTGACATGAGTCTTCAGTTCTTGTTTTGCTTTGCAAATAAAATTCTGTGTCAGAAAATTAGAGATTGAGCTCTCCTTATACATGAATTACTTCATGTCTTTCTGAAAAATATTAACCATCTATATTCTTCAGAGGCCTACAGAAATTCAAGCACTAAATGACTAAATATTACACTTATGTTCTGACCCCATTGGTACTTTCCTTTTACAAACTTGAGTTCAAGTTTTACCCAAAGATCATCTGTTCACATGCAGTCACCTGGCTTTAGAGTTCTTTCTTCTTTAAGCAGGAAAGCATTTATCTAATTTGGAAACTTGACTTCCTTTATATATTTATTATTTACTTAATATTTCACCTTACACCTATTTGAGTACCAGCATATTTTGCCAAGGTGATTAAATAGCCTGATTAGATATCAGGAAAAGAGGGTCTGAGCAGAGATCAGCCATGTGATCTGGAGAGAAACTTTGTCTTACTGGTAAAAATATAGAAAACTACATGAAGTGTCTTGAATGTAGTTGAATCAATTAGAATGTTTACTTAAATAAACGAATCCAAAGGAAACCCACTGTGGCTATTGTTTATGACATTAATTAGAGTAGTTCCCATGAAAGCAAGTCTACAAATAACAATCTTTTACTCTCCACTCACATGCTCCCTTTTGTATGTTATTTAAAATATTAGTTAATGTCCACTGAAATACTGAAAAGCTAATGTAACTGTAAAATATAGCATAATTAAGATAACTTATTAGAATAAAACAGAAAAAAAAATGCAAAAAAAACCCCCAAAACAGCAACCAACTTTAAAAATAGCCCCTGTTATGGAATTCTAAAAATGAAATTAAAAATTCAACCATAATAACTTGCATTCATACAAACATCTCCCATTTTCAAATTTTAATTTGCTCTTCCATTTGTAGAATTGTTCACAAATTTGCCAAGATTTTAAAACACCAGTTTCTAATTAAAATATTACTTTGGATTTCCTGCTGAAAATTCACTTTTTTTATGAAGTTATTGCACAGTTTAACCGTAAGTTAACCATTACATCCTCTGTAAACTGTGCAAGACTGATCTCTTCTACAAGCAAGTAATTCTTTAAAACTCTCTATTGCTGCCTGATGAGATTTAACTTCCTTTTTAGAGTGGGTTGAAACTCTCTGCTGTTACAGAGATTTCACCCCTGCCATTAACAGATGTTGACAATAGACAGGAGATCCCAGCAGTGGTAACTGCATAGGTGCAGGTGTTACACAAGGTCAGTTCACAGCTCTGACTCATATTTCTGAGCCACTGTGGATGTACCATTGGTTCTCCTTAACCAGACCTGTCATCTAGTAACAACAGACAAGGAGGTATTCAACAACTTTTTTCCTCTGTCTTTACTACTGACTGCTATACACGCAGCCCTTGAGTGGATGGTTCAGAAGGTGGGAAACAGGGGAGCAATGCCCCTCCTGCTGTAAGTGCAGATCGGGTTTATGATTGCCTGAGGAACCCAAACATCATAAATATGTAGGTTTCAATGAGATTAATCCCAGAGTCCTGAGGGAATGGGCTGACATAGTCACCAAGCCACTCTCAATGGTATTTGAAAAGTCATGGCAGTCAGCTGAAGTCCCTGGAGACTGGAACAAACATGATGTCACACTCATTTTTTAAAAATGCAGAAAAGGATGACCTGGGAAACTACCGACCTGTCAGCCTCATCTCTGCCAGGGAAGATCATGAAGCAGATTCTGGAAGCTGTGCCAAGGCACATGGAACAGAAAGAGGTGACTTGGGATAATCAGCATGACTTCATCAAAGGCAGATCCTGACTGACTAACCTAGTGGCTTCGTATGATGGCATTAACTGAGACTGTGGACAAGGGAAGAGCCATAGATGTTATCTATCTGGACTTCAATAAGGCCTTTGACACAGTTCCCCGTAACATCCATCTCTCCAAATTGGAATGATAGGGATTTGAACAGTGGACCATTTGATGGATGAGGAACTGGTTCTGAGGTCATACCCAAAGAGTGGTTGCCAATGGCTCAGTATCTAGATGGAAATCAGTGGTCAGTACTGGGACAGGTACCCCTTAACATCTTCACTAATGACATTGACAGTGGGATTGAGCACACTCTCAGCCAGCTTGCAGATGGCACCAAGCTGTATGGTGCAGTAAACATGTTTGAGGGACAGAATGCCATTCAAAGAGACCTAGAAAGGCTCAAGCAGTTGGCTTGGGTAAACATCATGAGGTTCAACAAGGCCAAGTGCAAAGTCTTGCACCTGAGTCATGGCAAACCCCACTATCAATACAAGTTGGGGGATGAAAGGATAAACTACATGCTGCTTTCTAACACCACAATGGAGTTAAGAGAGTTTTCTTCTTGGACTTTGGATAACAGCCCCAAGCTGCCAGAGTTCAAGGAGCTCTTAGACAGTGCTCTTATACATGGCATTTGGATTTTGAGTGATCCTTTGTGGAGGCAGGAATTGAACTCAGTGATCCCTGTAGGTCCTTTCCAACTTGGCATTCTATATCTTAATAGATACTTGGTCTGTGCAAAGCTCCATCTTATCTCTGCTGTCTAAAGCAGCTTCCCAGTTACTTTAGCTCTTTCAGCAAATCCCTGTCATCTGACTGCAAAGCCATCTTCAGATTGGCAGGAAGTGCATTCCTGTGCTTTAGGTTAATTGAGGGACTGCCCATTTCTTCTCATGAAATAAAAAGCCGTATAAACCCAAAACTTAATGAATTTCTTCCTGGACTTCAAATTTGCAGAACTGATGGAGGGTTTGAGGAGGGTTTGTAAGTAGTGAAGTGTTTCTGGATACAATATAGATAAAGTAAAACAATGAAACAAGGATTACGTGCAAGTAGCTTACAAAACCCGGAAGCCTCTTATCACAAAGGCTGTGGTTCACATCTCAATCCAGTTAAGATAATTGCATTCTCAGGAACAGCACAGGAGCAACTTAGAATAAAAGGCACAGAATGCACAATTGTTTTTGATAAATAGAGAGGGATCAGTGGAGTTCAAAAGCTGTTTGTATGAGTTCAGACTTGTTTCCACTTCCACAGTGCAAAGCTGAGCACCTCTGGTTTCCATTCAGCATAACCCAAGGCAGTTAACTAATAGAATTAGAGACAGGTATGACAAGAATAGTACAGAGAGGGGGCAGAAGGGCTGAAGAAAGCTGAACAAGTGAAACACCTCTAATTTCTGAAATACGTGACCTTATAATGGTCTGTACTGCATTCAGGGGAGTATTCGTAAGGATAATTTTAGCTAAAAATTCTGTAACATTCTAAAAATAGTATTTTCACAAGCTTTAATTGCATACTTCATCTTGGGAGCAGAATTAATTCTGTGCTGTACACGGTAAGGTTCCAAAAGTAATTTTGGAGCATATTCCAACCTGCCCAATGTAACACGTTTCATAATGGGGGGCCCAAAGCTGTTCTTTACTAAGTCTAAATGTCTTGATGTAGTTAGGTAGGCAATTAAGTAAAAATGGCAGAATTAATCCTTGAATGCACACTCTCTTAAAGGCCCACTGAACAATGTGCATGCCTTCAGCAGAAAGCAGCAAAAACAAAACAAAACAAAACAAAAACATAACCAGGATATGATTAGGATTTTTGAGCATTTTTTTTCTTCAGAAGAAAGCTGCTTCTCATGTCTTGTATCTGTAGAGTTTATCTAACATTCATTTGCTGCAAGCAACTGTTATAAAGCTTTACCAAAAATAATAAATCTAGAATATTTAAAAGTGAAGGTACTTTTCATGTTCATAGCAGGTTAAATGAGACTTCGAAAATGTCAGAATTACAAAGGAACATGCTTTTTTTCAAAAGTGCATAGCTTGATGTATTTAAGTAATTCAGATCTCTAACAGGCTGCAAGTATGTAAACAAGCCTTGACAGCATCAGCAATGCAAAGCATATATATTATTGTCTCATCTATTAAAAATACATTCAGATACATTAAATAAGCCCACATCTACTGACTTCCAACCCCCTTTTAATTGCTAGGTACTCTCTGGTGATTTCGTTAACGTGCACTGCAAGCTCTCCCTATTAGCTGCTACTAAAACAAGCACAGCAAGAAAAATGCAGACTTGCACATAGCTGGAACAAGTTATTTATGTAGGCGTAGCAAAGCTTGACCATTATTGACTAATTCAAAAGACAATGTTAACTCAGCTGGTACTTACTCAGCTTAAGTATTACATTACTTGAGATTTCTGCTGTACAACACATACACTCTAATGCAGCAATGCTTTTAGCTATCTATCTCGCGTACAACAATGCAAGAAACCCCAACGGTCTGTTATCAGAGGGTGAAATAGTCCCTGGGGTTGCTAGCAGCCACAAGGGACCTCAGTTCTGCGGGACAGCGCCCTTAACAACTGCAGCACCTGATGGAAGGAGCAGGGGGGACTCGAGGCCGCTCCTTCGGGTACTCAGGTGGCCCTCGACCTGGTCCGGCTCCTTAACCTTGCACTGCTCAGCTGTACCTGCCAACACCGTCGGCACAGGAGGCGGGGACCTGACATACATCCCGCCCTCCTCCCCGTCCTCCGCCGCACCATTGGTTGATGCGGGGGGTTGGGGGGCGGTGCTGGCGATTGCTGATGCAGGAAGCGGTGGGGCCGGGCCGGGCCGTACCAGGCAGGGCGGTGCCCGCGGCTGCTTCGGTCGGGGGCTGCGCTGAGTAGGGCAGAGCCCGGGGAACGTCGGGCTGCGCGAGTGGAGAGGAGCGGCTGGGTTCGGCGCTCTTGTCGCTGTCACAGAGCGGCCCCCGGCTCCGCCCGCCGCCGCCACCGGGGAGAGCCGTGCGGGCGGCGGGGGCGGCCTGACATGAGATCATCGCCGGCGGCGGCAGCAGCATGGCCTCTGCCGGGAGCGGCGGCCGCGCCGCATCGCGGGACGGGGAGGCCAACGGCGAGCCGGACCGCTCCTTGCAGCTGATGCTGCGGGCGATAGCGGAGGAGCGCAGCCGCACCGGCCTCCGCCACGAGATCAGCGGCCTCGGTGAGGGGCGGCGGCGGCCGGGGCGGGAGCGGGCGGCGGCGGCGGAGGCGGGCCGGAGGGCTGCGAACGCCGCGGGGCCGCGCCTCGGCTCCCGCTCCTCTGTTGTTTGGCGTTATTGGGCCAGCGGCCGGAATTACTGCGAGCAGAAAGTGTGTGTCGCGTGTTTGGAGTACGGACGCTCGGCACTCTCGCGGACCGGGTGGTCCCGGTGGGTTTTTCCCTGCGCCCAGCGAGCTGCCCCGCGCTGCTCTGCGACTCGGGGCTTGTACCGGGAGCTCGGGCAGCGGAGCGGCGACGGATCCTCCCGGCACTCTGGTGGGCTTAACGTGCGTCGCGGGTGACGTCTGCTCAGGTGTTTTCTAAGCCCCTGTTGCAAAACGGGAGCTGGGAGTTGTGCTCCAGTTGACTTGAGGTGGCGATGGTCCTACAGCTGCTTTAGCTGAGAGCCTTTGGGCCGGGAAACTCTGCCAGCCAGGGTAATGAATAGAAATCGCTCGTTATGTGCAACTGTGAGATCGTGGGCATAGAAAGCTCTGATGTGAGCGCTGGTTTTTGCATTCTGCAGAGCTGCAGTATGCACTGTGCTGGAAGGGGTGCGTGCATAGGAGTCCCTGCAGGGTCGGGGCTTGAAATTAGGAGCACTTAAGTGAAATTTGTTGTTGTTACTTCAGTGTGGCTCATCCTTCCACTCCTCGCTTACAACTTCCCAGATGTTTCTGTCTCCGGGTCTTTTGTAAAAACTGAGTTTTACTTGGATTTTACTGGTTTCTGTGGTGCAACTTGGTGTAGGAAGCCCTGTTCTCCTTCTGTCCCCTGCGTACCAGGTCAGCCCCCAGTGCTCACTGGGGTCTCCACAGGGAGGAACGGGCTCTCTCCTTGTCTCTACCTTGCATTTAATGAAAGCTTCTTCAGATAAAAAGAAATGAGTCTTTCTTGTTTCTTCATGCTTTTTCTAATGGCTTTGTGTCTTTGAATTGAACTGGAATATAGAAGTGTTATGGCCAAATAAAAAACAAAACAAAACGCCTCTTATGGTCAAATAAAGCCTTGTGGCAAAGAACATGTGAATGAAAGGGGGAAAACAGTACAAACAACAGCAGCAAAGAAGCCAACTGTCTGTGAGATTGCATTTGTGGAAAACTTGTTGCTGCCTTGTTTTTGGCCATATCAAGTTTGAGTGAAAATAAAAGCTTGCAGGAATAGAAATATTATCACTACTTTCCTTTAGTGAAATTGGCTGGTGATAATGTAAGACTGCTTCCTTGCTGCTTGTAATTGAAGGTATAACTGAAACAGGTCATGCTTCAGCATGGCTTTGGGATGACCATGCAAGCCATGGGGCAGTATTGCATCTTTCAACCCCCATCCCTCCTCCCAACCCCTGACAGAGATATATAAATAAAGCTCCAGGGAAATGACTGAGCTCCTTACACTGAGGTTAATTCTGGCTGTGAAGGGTCTCCTGTGTGTGGCTGTGCCTGTTTGAAACTGGGTCATATGTCAGCATAGGAGTGCCTTGGGTGTTTAGTTTTTGCATCTAGCTGAGCTCCAGCTGCAAATGCTGCTGTTTGCCAATCTGTAGCTGGTATACCTTGCCCACCAATGTGTCCTGCTGGCAGAGGAGTGCCAACATACCAAGTGGGACTGCTGTCAGGTCACAATATGAACATTTAAATTGTCACATTTGAAACAACCAGCTTTGAGGATGGTAATGCTGACCTTGGGCAAGTCCCATGCCTGGCTGCGGGACAAATATAGCTGTATCTGGTTTTAAGATGGTGTTTTGTCTTCTCATAATGGACAAATTCTTTCCAGTGGTGTCAGGAGTCATAGTAGACTCAATCTGTTGTGCGTTTGGCTTGAGTGCTCTTAAAATCAGCTTTGATCCTGTTAAACTGTAGGTTTTTCTGACTGTTCTTAACCCCTTTGTGGTAAATGGAACTCAATAGGTCAAATTTGTGAAGCTTTTTTCCCCGTTGCGTGTTTTCTTTAAGTTTGCTCCCCAGTTTAAGCAGGAGACTGCTATTTTTGCTGATGCTGGATTTCTGTGAGCAAGAACACTTCAAGAGCATCACATCAGCAGTTAGGCAAGTGTTGTCCAAAAATGTAAATCCCCTCATAAGGGATTTTCCTAATTTTCCTCTTTGTGTAATGTAAGAAAATACATCAAGCCGTCTGACATCACACTTCAGAATAATAACTCATCTATGACTCTGTGCCAGGCTGATTAATGGGAATGATGATGCCACTATGAGACATCTCAGCTGCATGTCAGTGTCATCCAGCTGTGCAGGGCATTGCACTCAAAGCTAGCTCTGAAGTGCAGTTTGGTACTACATGACACTGTCAAAGTAGTTCTTTCTTAGGGAATGACAGGATTGCTTTATGTCCTTCACAAGAAAGTTTTAGATGCCTACAGTTTCTATATAATGTTAATTGGGTGGCTGTGAGTACTGTGTTCTTCATTTTAGGACCTAGTTGATAAAATATAAATAATATGAGCTGGGGACTTGTCAAGCGCTGCTTTTCTGTTGAGAATCCCTTGCTGTGTTGTGCTTGCTCTCCTCAACAGTGCTGTGTAGAAAGCTCTGAAGTTAATTTTTGGCCAAAGCCCTGGCCTGATAGAGTTTAGGTTAAATCTCAAACTAGGTATGTAGTGTTGTCAGATGCTTAACTTCTCTGTCTTTTATCACTTCAGGGATGAGTTGCCCTGTCTTCAGTGCAGCCTAATGTTCTCGGTTGGAGGTATGACTTGCTACCTTATAATTAGTAAAAAAAGGAAAAATTAGGTCTGAATACCATCTTGAACCATAGCTGACTGACAGACATGTAGCCAAGCAAAAGTCTTGAGGCAGCTGGCTCGGGACTAAACCAGCTGTCAAAAATTGCTGTCACTAGGCGCTGGTGACAGCAGCTGCAGTGGTTACAGGTGCTGGCTGAGAGGCTAGGCCCTTCAGAAGTCCTGATAGTTTTATCACTAATTAAACGTTCCCTTTGGCTTCTTGTTTGGGGAGGAAATGCTCTTTTGTTCCTCTGACCCTTGATAAGTGGAGGGCAAGGGGAGGTCCCTTCCAACCCCTACAATTCTGTGATTCTGAATGCACGCTTGGCAGAGGGTCAGCAGAAAAAGGAACCTTTTTCCTCACGGGACTGTGTGAACTTGTTTGTGCAGCAGTGATCTTCAGAGCCTGTCGTGTGAATAAAGGCAAGGGGATGATTCATGTGCCAAATGATCGTGATGAATAAATAAATCTTGGAAATAAGTAGGTCTCAAACCTTCTTGAGAGAAGGGAAGGTGAGGTGGTGTTACTAAGTGTTTGTGGACATTGTGAAGATATGATGGGAATGGGAAGGCTTGAGTGGGAAAATGCGGGGAAAGAAAGTTAAGGACAGCAAAACAAATGTTTGGAAATGTTAAAATAAGAATTGAGGAGAACTACAAATAATTAGGACTTGAATGCATTAAAATCAGACCTGCGTAGAGTGGTAATAATGTTAATTAAATTATAATATTCACAAAGTATATATTTGCTTCTGAAGCTCTGAAGAAAATATAACCACTGAGTAGGTGGGAGGATTTACTGAGGGTTTTGCTAAGCTAGTTTGACAGGAGTAACTTGGATGTAGAAAGAAAATATATTCTTTGTTCATGTGTGTTTGTGGAGTTGGCTCAGTGATTAGACCAGTCAAAGGTGAGGGACTAGAAAAGCTGGAAAGCTTTGTTTTCTCTTGAACTGTGAGTAACAAGAAGGTCTGTAAATCACTTTTGCTTTTCTGAGAGCTTGAGGAACATATACAAGCAGTCAAATTCACTACCTTACAGAAAAAATTGTAGAATTGAGTAGGTTGGAAAAGATCTCAAAGATCATCCTGTCCAACTGTCCACCTATCACCAATGTTGTCTGCTAAACCATGTCCCTCAGTACAATGTCTGAATGTTTCTTGAGCACCTCCAGAGTTGGTGACTCTACCATCTCCCTGGGCGGCTTGTTCCAGTGCCTCACTGCTCTCTTTGGAGAAAAACTATTCAGTATTGTCCAACCTGAATCTCCCCCACTGCAACTTGAAGCCATTCCTTCTAGTCCTATTGCTGGTTACGTGGGAGAAGACGCTGACCTGCATCTCACCACATCCTGAAGCTGTCAGCTGCTCCAGGAGAATACTGTGGTAGGTAATGTTGAAGGCTTTGTTGAAGTTTAGGTTGACTATGTCAACAGCCTTTCCTTCATCCACCTGATGGGTCATTCAATCCTAGAAGGAGATCAGGTTGGTCAAGCAGGACCTGCCTTTCATGAGCCCATGCTAGCGAGGCCTGATCCCCTGGTTGTCCTGCACATACCATGTGATCTCCCTCAGGATGATCTGCTCTATAACCTTACCTGGCACCGAGGTCAGATTGATGGGCTTGTAGTTACCAGATCCTCCTTATGACTCTGCTTGTAGATGGGAGTCATGTT